ATGCATACATGTATACATGCATACATACATACATCTATATGTACATGTGTGTGTACATATTACGTAAACATGTATCTGTGTATGTATGTAATGTAGTGTAATGTACTGTGCCGTAATGTAATGCAATGTAACGTAATGTACTGTAATGTAGTTTAATGTAGACATATGTACGGATGTATGTATGATTATGTATGCATGCACGCATGCATGTATGCATGTATGCGTGTATGCGTGTATGCATGTATGCAAGTATGTATGCACTCGTAGATGTGTATGTACGCATGTATGTATATATGTATGTATGTATGTATGTATGTATGTATGTATGTATGTATGTATGTATCTATGTATCTATGTATCTATGTATTCTATGTATCTATATATGTATTATATGTATGCATGTATGCATGTATGCATGTATGCATGTATGCATAAATGCATGTATGCATGTCTGTGTGTATGTATATAGGTATATATGTATATATGTATATATGTATATATGCATATAATTATACGTGGTGCAGCGTCGCCCGACCCACCGCCCCCGCACCCCATGGTATCCCCCCTACTCACTCCCCCCCGCCCCCCCCATTATGCTTCCCCCGCCTGGCGTGCCAGCCCACTCTGTGCTCCGCAGCGCCCCCTTGTGGGGCTCTATGCTGTCCCACGCTCTGGCCCCCTGTGGTGTGGTGGTTTTTGGCTTGTTCAACCCCCCTCGTCCCCCCTCTGGTGTGGTGGTGGGTTTTGGGTTAAATCAAAAACCCCTTCTCCCCCCCCTCTAGTGTGGTGTGGTGGTGGTGGTGGTGGGTTGTGGGTTTCAGGTTTAGTGTTTAACCTTCCCCCCTCCCTGTGGTGTGTGTGGTGGTGGGTGTTGGGTTTAGGGTTTAGGGTTTGTACCCGCGCCCCGATGAAGACATACATGTGAATCACAGATTCCGGCTGAATACTTAAGATGACGAGGCCCTCCGGAAAGCAGTGCGCGTGAGGGTTGCCGTAAACAAAGGTTCCGTAAAAAAGACCCGTGGTAGCAGGAGGTTACTCTAGGACCGACAATGACCTGTCCAGGAATTGCTTGGGCTGGGGATGCCATGCAGCATGCCGCTGCGTCCAAGAATTCTGGCTCAGGCCTTGCTAACCATGATTTCTTTATTGGCTCCTCGGCTGTAGAGCTCTGGATTCAGGGATGTCAAAGGCCCTTGGCTGAGCATGGATGTGCCACCGCTTGTCCCCGTGAAGACTTGTTCCCAGACGTTGCCTTGTTCGTTTAAAGGACAGCATTCGCAAATGTAATTGTGTTTGATGACCCTAGTTCGGGATCTGCAGGTTGCCATGCCGCAGACCATTGTCCATGTAGTGCTACCTGGATCATACTGCAATGTATTGCATACAACTACATGTCGCCTGTACTTTGTAAAATATCCCATACGGTGTAGCTACAGGCTGTTATTTCACGTGCCGAAACGCCATTGGAGTAGGCACGCAAATTATTGTGTTCTCGTCAAACTCTGCTGGTGCAAAGAAGAGAAGGCCTCCTGATAGCATGAGCAGTGTCAACGCATGATACCGAAGCTCAAAAATCAAAAATCGACAACTTTAGTGAGGTTGTCTCGAGTGCCTCGTCTCCACCACCGCGCTTGCCTTGCAGGCCCAAGCCGGCCCTTTGCTGACAGGTGTAAACGCCCGGCTGTCAAGATGACTGCTACGACCGCCGTCTGTCTGGGGCTGTGCTGTTCGACCCTTGCTGCTGCGGGCAGCGTTAGTGGATTTATTCGTTGTCGTCCGTCGTTCCTATTGCCAGTTTCTTCTGATGGTGATAGGGGTTGTTTTCCTTGTCTACTGTTGGTCATAAACGTTTATAGTGAGCGTGGTGGTTTGGGCTTCTTGCTGTCTCCGTGCTGGTCGTTTTGGATTTGTTGGTGCTTCTGCAGTGGGTGTTGCAACTGTTACTTTTTTCGTAACTTGAATTACTCCCTGGTGCTTATTTGCATCCTTCTTGTCCTTGGTTCTCATTGCTGATAGGCGGTCGTGGGAGTTTTGCTTGGAGAGAGGGCCAAGCTCACAAAAGGGTACCTTAAGAGCCTGAAGACCCAGATATGCATTCGTCGAAGAATGGCAGAGGGAGGCAACTTCCCCATGCTGCGGAAACCGAGCAAATTGCAGGTGGCTTCGGGGCTCAGTTGTGGCTTGGATTGTCTCACATGGGGATGGGGAACGCTGGCAGGGATGCTCCATCAAGATGGCCTTCTCGCGCTATGGTGAGCACGTGGAGGAACAGGTCTTCTTTACACACCTCTGTGCCCCAGACCGAAGCTGCACATGCTCTTGGCCGAAGTGTGCCGTCATCTGTGCGCGCCGCCCCCAGGTGCACTGATCGTCGTGTTCCCAAGCCAGTGGCACTTGGTGGGCCCGCGCTTGCTTGAATGGCTCTTCGGCCGGCTTTCTGATGGCCTTGCAGCTACATTTCATTGCGAGCACATGGGCTGGCCGTCTTGCCCGCGACTTTTCAGGTTCCAGCAGCGCGATCCGTCCTTGCTGGTGCTGGTCACGTCAGGCTGGCTCCTAGGTCCTAGGCGTCTCCACTCCTTGCCAGCAAGTATAAGTATAGTGGCCAGGTGTCTGCCTCAACTTCGCTTCCCGGAATTTGGGAACAAAGCTGGCCGGCCGTGCTCCGAACCTTCTGGCAACACGGACGGCAAGTGCTTGCATGTTTGTGGCCATTCAACAGTTGAGCAGGCGTCTTTTGAAATAGCGTTCGTGAGGTGCTGCAGCTTGCTCAGACCCTGGACGGATTCGGTCAACTGCCGCTCCTCTGCATCGGGCCTACTTACTATACACACATAGATGTGTATATATATATATACACACACACACACTTATCTTATCACATAACATGCATATTATACAGTGTATTCTATTGTATTGTCGTATGTTGCACTATAGTATGATTCGTTGTCAGGTGCCGTCTTCTGGATACTTTCTCCTTGCTATCCGTACTACGGATCACCATCTTGGAGTGTTTCCTTTGCATCTGCATTTGCAGGTCTGTCTGTCAGCAGCAGTCATGTTTCTCTCTTTCTCTGTTGCCATTGCGCTACGGTTGAGGGCTTAGGGTTCAGGCTCCTGAAGCCCTCAGCCCTGTACCCTAAACCCTTGCCCCAAAGCCCAAACACTAAACCTTAAACCCCGAAATCCTAAAACACCCTGAGTAGACTTAGACCCCTACCCCCTCAAAGTCCGGCCTTCAGGCTGGTGGCTGCCTTGGTGCGGGTCCCACCATGGCCTCCCTCGGGCTTCTGGGGCGGAGCGCTGGTGCTGCTCGTGGGGACCCTGCAGTACCTGAGAGCCTCCGGCCCTGACCTCGGAGTCGCTTGGGGCCTGGGGGGGCTTCTGGGATTTGGAGGGCGTCTAAGTGGCTTTATAATTGGGCTTACAATTGGGTCTACAATCGGGCTTATACTTGGGCTTATAATTGGGCTTATGTCCGGTTTAGGCTTTGGGGCATTGGATTTAGTTATGGGGTTCGTGTCTGTGTGGGATGATCGGAGGCGGCCATCTAGATTGATGTCAGGGTCCGAAGCCGTTGGCGTGGTACGAGAGGGCTGGGGTTCAGGGCACATGTCAGCAGCTGCGTGTTGGTGTATGAAGTGCCGGACTGTTTTTGCTTGGACGGTCAACCCTTTTCATGTCGCTTCTTTTCTCTGTTGCTTTGGGCTGACAGCCTGTGTCAGAACCAATCTTGCTTGCGGCATCAGGTGCTGCCACGAAGCAGAAGGACACCATACCAGCTCCTCGATGGCACCAGAACAGAGTCGATGGTCAGTCATTTCGCATTTTGGAGAGAAGATCCGTGTATTCTACGCCCCAGGCTGAAGTCTGGAAGACGCCGAACTCCCAGGCCATGCACCCGGCCTGGCCGCACGGGGTCTCGATCAGCACCCTTTAGTGAGCTCAGGCGGCATGGTCCCTCGCTACTGTCGCAGCGCGCGGCGGAGGTGCCGACGCCGTGCGCCGCGAGAACCTGAACTGGAGGCATGGTGCGTGCAGCAAAGCCAGCTCCCGGTGTTGTCTCCAGCGCTTTCATCTGCATGTCTGCCATTAGGATCAGTATGGTACGAAAGCATCACGGAGCTGCGATTTCCTGCATCTGCATAAGTGCTCGAGGCGTTTGAACCTCGTACGCGTCAGGGACGGCATGAGCGTCTGACTTACTGTGTTAACGTTGGCGGGATCGGTGTGGTTCCAAGTGGCATGCGCCGGCCAAAGGGAAGCCGCAGCCGCAGCCTTTCATTGTCGCTGCTTCATATGTAGGTCAGCTTGAAGGATCTTGAAGGGCTACGAGTACTTACAGGCCGTTGTGATGGTCATAGCAGGGAAGCATGAGCAGCTGAGCTAGCAAGCACCGATCTCATGCCTGTTTCTTGCTTGGATTGCTTTAGACAGCCAGTGGGCCCTTTTTCCTTTACCTTGAGGCTTCTTGAGGAGAAAGAGAGCGACGCAGCTGCGCATAAGACACACAAAGCTGGACTGTGAGTAGCAGTGTCATAGCAGCTTCTAGGGCTCAAGGGCTGGCAACAGCGAGGATTCGCCATGCTGGAGAGTCGCAGTGCATCCCTCAACCAGCCAAATCGTCGAGTGAGATAACACTAGCTGAACGGCTGAACGTCCGGTTGCACATCTGCATGAATATCATCGTTCTTGCCTTCATGCATGAGGACAAAGAGCACAGACATGCTCGTCGACCGTGTTTTGAAAGCTTCATGGTTGCTGAGTGCCGTCGTCGGGCTGGAGACGAGGTGGCTGCAGCAGCCTATTGACCACAACAGCGCCTCTGCGGCGAAGAGAACATGAAGCCCGTGGTCCAAGTCCTACTAAATCAGAGATCCCAGCTCCAAGCTTCAGGTGCCACCCCACACCGCTTACCAAACCAAGTAAAGTGACACATTAAGCACGTTGGGGCTTGGTGCTCAAGGCTTGATTGTGAGTTGACAGCAATTGAGGTGCATCGAAAGTATAGATAGGCCGTTTGCACAGGTCGCCACTGGGATCCTAGGTTTTGAGCCAAAGTTCGGCAGGCTGGCACCTTCCAGTATAGGTTGAAGAAGCCTTATAGGATCTAGCGAGAAGTGCAAGATCCCATATACCCTCATCGAGCTACCCCCCCGCACGCGTGCCCTGCTGCCAACCTGGACTGCTTTCAGAGCTCTTCTACGCACGCCCCGGTTTGAAACATGCACAAGCCACAAGCAAGGTCCTGGATCCGGTACGTTTGCGCAGCAGCCTGGTTGACAGGAGAGAGCAGACGGCAACAGTTTTGCAAAGCCCGGTCTGTCACTGGATTCAGATGCTAGTCACTGTATGCCGTGCCTTCACTATAGTTATCTATAGGTATCTTTTTTCATTATGCTTTCGCGGTGCGTTTCCTTGAGGCACACATGAAGAGCCTATGTTTAACACCTTATTTTCTTCTGTAGCGGCAAGTGCGCTCCGGTTACTCTCCAAGGCGATACTTAGTCGACGTGGAGGCCGCTCATGAACTGCTGAAGAAGGAGCATGATCTTGCCCGCAAGAAAGCGCCTGTCGCTGGCAATCGGTAGGCCGACAATGGTGGGCCTTTGCTGTTTTTCTGCGGCAACGAGGGTGATGTGGAGGTAGGCGGGCTTACAACTCATGTTGCGGCTTTTCTTTGTGCACGTATGGGATACTTAGTGCGAAGCCGCGTGGCAGGTCTTCGCGAACTTTAGCAAGTTCCTAAACGAGGCTGCAGTCTCCTGGCTGGCTATCACTCGCAGATATTCGCAGGATTGCACACCAGTCAGGACGAGTAGCACTCGGGGTTGTGGGCATCGTCGGTTCGGAGAGCTAGGGGGAACTCTTCCGAGCGAAAGTGCGAAGTTACTCCCATGGTACCCGAGCAACATGCCGAGGCCGCTCTGCAGGGTGAGGTGGTTTTTGCAGAGCACCGTTTTTACGGCCAGAGCTTGCCCTTTGGCCTCGACGCTTTCCAGCTCTTTAGCATAGGAAGTCGGGAGAGTCTGGCAGGGGGCTGTAGTGAAAGCACCGTATAAGGCGTTTCGGCGAAGCTCATGGGAGACTCAGGACTTCAGCCTGGATCACATCCGGTTCCTAACGGTTGAGCAAGCCTTGGCAGACTATGCTCGTCTCATCACGTCCTTTGTCCTGCATACAGGGAACAGATGCGAACAGTGAAAGTGCGGTGCTTTTGGCACCGATCTGGAGCATGTCAAGGCGAGACTTTCGGGAGTATTGCCGAGGTTTCTGACCGCCTCCAGGCAGCGCAAAGTCGTTGCTTTCGGTGGCTCTTATGGTGGTATGCTGAGCAGCTGGATGAGAGCAAAGTGCCTTTGACTTAACCATGCCTCGATTCTTGTCTCTGCGCGGAAGATGTCCTGTCCTGTCCCTGGTACAGGTACCCATCGCTTGTGTTCGCTGCTGCCACTCGGCCGAGTCATGACCACGAGCTTCAGCTCGCTTCAGATTCATAGTTAGTCTGGCCCCATCTTTTGGTCTGTAAGGTCTCCTCCTCCGCACCTTTGCACTTTGACCGAGTGGGCCCATCCTTCTTCAAACTGGTGACGGATGCTGCGGAGGTCGCTGTTTGTTGCATGGTCATACAATATCACAAAAGGCAGTCGCCTTCGTCAGACTTGCCAGCGTTCCCGTGCATGCACAGAATTTTTCGTTTCTTATTTCTTGACCACCTCGATGTAGTACCTCGACTCTGCGGAGCACTGCTCCGGTTCCATTTAAGATACGTCGTGAGTTCTCAGATCGGTTGTGGTAGCGATGCTGCGGCGGAGAGATGCGGAGTGGCCGCAGGAGATGGACCCCGGCTGTGCTGACAGGGTCCGGATGGGTTTCGCCGCACTCGAGGCAGCGCAGCTCGGCTGCAGCGGTAGTTTGCATCCTGTCACGGAATGAACTTTCATTGGATGGATTGGCACCTAACACAAAGGCCTGCATGGAGTGTAAGTTCTGCTTCTAGCATCTGCGGCGGTCTGGTGAGAGGCTTGCATTCCAAGCCAGAAGCCCTCCAGCCAAGGAGTGCCAGTTCACTGCAGCGTGCTTTTGGGCTCTGCAGCCCACCGTTGGACTTGAACGAGCTGGTTTTATGGGCACGGAATGCCTTCGTCACTGCCACTCAGATGCATCATACGTGGAAGACGCCCTGAACTGTTGCAGTCTAACATGCTGGCGGCAAAGAGTACCAACTGCTGTACAAGATTCGACTAAACAGGCTCATTTGTAGTGTGTCAGCTCCTCCTCTGCCCCTCACCGAAGTCTTGACGAGCATCATGGGCAGGTGGCCATGGGCAACTATCCCTACGCAGGAGATCTTTTTGGCAAAGGCTTGCAGGCCTGGCCACTGCGTGCAGCGTGCAGGGAGCTGCATGGCTTCCACAGAAAGCCGCTGGAGTCCCTGGCGGCTGCTGTGGGTTCCTACTACAACGCTACAGGCCTTCGGTCAGAGCATGGTTTAGTGAAGCGCAAGGCGAAATCTCTCTCTGACATCTCTGAACCGTGCCAGGGGAGGTGCACTGCCACAACATCAGCCGCCAGTACCGCGACTGCGCTGATCAGACCGGTTGTGGAACTGCCGATGCGCCCTGGGGCCGCTCCTGGGACATCGAAGCGTGCAGGCAGATCGTGTATTTTACATCGACGAACAACGTGACCGACATGTTCCCACCAAGAGCTTGGGGGTTGGAAGAGCTTTCACAGTACTGCAGCGATGTTTGGCAAATACAACCGCTGTCCAACTGGTTCTTGCCCTGGTTGTGACTCGGGCAGAATTGGAAGTCTCTCTCTGTGCCCCGCTGAGGGCTATGTTGTGAAGTCTGGGAATTCACGGCCATGGTTCCGAAGCTACTTTCCGATGCGAGAAGGTCATCTGTGAACATCAGTAGCCGCATCATCTTCACCAATGGCCTGGTGGATCCATGGCGTGGCGGTGGCGTGTACTGGCCTGAGTTTCTCGTTTCCGTGTAGCAGTGTAACGTGTGAGGGAGGACTCCGCGTCAGGATGCAGTCTCTTTCCAGCACGCTGGTCTCGCTGAAGATCCCCGGAGGGGCCCACATCTACGACCTTGCAGGACACCACGTGGACGATGTTCCGGGAGTTCGCTCTGCCAGGCCTGGTCCAAGTTCAGTGCTGTTCGTGTGCCAGTCATTTGCATGGCCGTGGTGGCCGTGGTGGTATGGAAGGCAGAGCGTGCTGACCATGCTCCGGCTGTGGTTGGGCGTGCCCCACACTGCCGAATTGGTGGTTTGAAAATGCATCCGACATCATCCGTCTCATGAGAATGAGAGCTGCATTATTCGCAGTTTTTCTCTACCTCCGCAAATGCTGGTTGTTGCCCTGCGACTTCCTGAGTGAAGCCGTGTCGTCTTGAATATGTCAGCACGCACACATCAACGAGAAGGCATAGGCACATGCTTCAGTCCGTCGACTAGAACAGGACACACGAGGGACACTTTGACGGATACAAAGGCCAACTCGGATGGACCATCGCAGTTTTGAAGCATCTACTTGCTAGAGCCATAGCTGGGGGTGCAGAGAAGCGTGTTTGGAGCTGCTTTGCGTGCCATGGAGCCTCCTAAGACTTTTGAGGTGTCTCGCTCGCGGTCTAGGAAATGGGACCTGGAGGTGAAGAGCATAAGCCGTGACGGGCAGGACTGCGTCGGTGCCTGCCATTGGGTGTTCAAGTCAACATCTCGATCGATCCCAACGGACCTCGAAAGTCGCAGTCTGCCGCTGGATCCTGTGGAGCTCTGGAACAAGACCAGGAGTGTGGATGCGGACTCCCGGCCCAGCTGGTCAGTTCCCTCTGCTCGGCCTTGTGCCCTGGAGCAGTGGAGGGACAAAGCTCCAGCAAAGCTGGAGTCGAAGCAGCTACTTCCGGGGCCGAGCTTCTGGCAATCGCATGGCAACGGCCAGGGCCGCTACGGCTGCTCTGCCGGGCATCTAGCTGCCTCTACCGTTCCCACCGCTCCCCACCGACGTCAAACCTCGCGCCCTTCCACAGAACAGGCTTCAAGGTTGGATCGAAGAGGCAGATGGCGAGATGGCGCATCCTATACCAGCAGCTTAAGAGCCTCGAGCTTGCCTCTTGTTTCAACATGTTGCCTTCAAGCTGGTCGGCTGGCTGCGTGGAGTGATATGCAGTCTTGAGTCTAAGGTTCCTTGGGACTTTGGAGGAGGAGCAGATCCGTGGACGGCACAGCGGGCCAAAGTTCAGCCCAACTGCGACCAAGAAGCTGCGTGACCTCACGACTGTCATTCTGACATCCCGGTAGGACACCTACTGTAGGACCTATAGAGCCTTTGATAGCTACTGCCAGATGGCAAGCCATGCATAGCATTGCCTGCCCAACGACGGTCACTTGCTGGCAAAAACATGGCAGCCCGCGTGCACCCTGCTTGAAACTTCTTCTCTAACTTTCCGAAGACGTCTTCAGACATGTTGGGTCTTCGCTGCAGCCCAAACATCTTGCAACATACATAACCTGCAGCCGGCAGACCGCATGAGCGATTTCAATCGTGCAGGTCGCATCTAATAGAGCACTGAGGACCAACAAAAAGAGATGCCCCGAGCTTTTCCGAGCCATGAATGACAGGTCCCATCAAGGGTAAAGCATGCTTTGCTTCCATGGCCTCGGACCCCGGCATTCCCGACACCCAGCACCTGTCCGTCTCGGAGGTAGAGGCCGCACCAGCCGTTGAGTTGCCGAGTCATGACTCGCCAGCCCAGAACTGCCGTGCAGGATTTGTACAATGCTGCTCTGGCCGACGTCCAGGAGGCAGTGACCGCTGAGCAGCGAAAGGAAAGAGGACAGCGACTGGCCGCCCTCTCCAAGGTCTCACGGAGGGGAGAGCAGACCATGCACTCTACCTGTCTCCGTAGCAATAAGTATACCTCTCATCATCCAGCTATGACCCAGTAGTCCAGCTATGACCCAGTAGTCTTAAGACTTAGAATGCACATGCATCGCCCGGTGTCATGCAGCAAGCTATTTCTGTCTTACCCGCCCACGTGCTACATGTCACGAGTTCATAAAGCAAAAACAGCATACTCAATGTCTCTCATCATCCGCAAGTTGCCCACTATGTGGTCGAACTGTTTATCCCAATCAGTCATGTCCCGACCAAAGAGGGCAAGGATGTGAGACATGACCCCTGAAGGCATTGCGAGCTGCCAAGCGGAAGCCGGCTGAAAAAACCAAGATCCTTGGACGAAAGCCCTGTAAAGACTCATAGCTTGTGAAAGATGCTATTTGCTCAAAAGGTGCGATTTCGGCCCAAAAAACTGGCGCATAGCATCTCTTCAAATTTTGTTCGTATCATGCTCCTGGAATCGACCGCTTTAAGAAGGAGCCTTTCTGGTTTTCTGAGGCACCACCGTTTGCCTCGACATCTAACGGAGGAAACCGGGGCTGGAACACCTGAGCGACAGAGCTGAGGCTTCGGAGGGTTGGAGCTGGTGGAGGGTTTGAGGGGCTCTCGGGCTGGACAGCTGGAGGGCTGCTCCTGAACGCTGTGTCATGCTGTGTCTCTGTGCGACGACACGGGCCGCGAGTCACCCCTGAACCTGAAACCCGAAGCTTATGAAACCTGCAGCGGTAATCCAGCCTTTACGGTTGCGTGAGTCGTTTCGGTTCGGTTTTAGTGCTACCACTGTACACCAAACACAGCAACAGCAGCAACAACGACTGCCAGACTACATCTACAACTACAGCTACATCTGCAGCTACAGCTGCAACAAATGCTACTAGTAGTCCTACTGCTACTGCCACTGCTACTGCCAGGGAAGAGTATATAAGTAGCAAATAGCAAATAGTGAGCTGAAATAGTAGTATGCAGCTTTCGGAGCTTCGTCGTAACAACAGTCATCAGGTTAGTGGTACATGGTATTTCGGGAAGGGAGCCGTTGCCTGCAGCGCTTGCCCAGGAGGCCCGAGTGGCTGAGCTATCCCGAGCCGACGGCTCTCCCCCGCTGCCCTGAGGACCAAAGGTACGTGGGATGCTCGGAGGTCTGGGGGGGCCCGAGTCTTTGCAGCACTTTTGGCTAAAGAAGCCGAGGTGAGGAGCTACAGAACCGACGATGGTCAAGGAGCCAAAGAGTTCTTTGAGCAGTACGGCTTCGTGGTTTTCCGTGACGTCCTCGAGCCAGCTGAGTGCGAGAAGCCCAGCCTGATGTGTGTGGTGCGGTGTTCTTTAGAAGGTGTCGAAGCCACCACCCCTTAAACGAGGTGAAGCTACTGTGTCCGAAATCTGGACATCTCTGGAGGAGCGCACTCCAGGCTCAACGGCCCACGCGATTCCTGAAGCTCGCTTGCTGTTTTAGCATACCAAAAGCCCATGACCACTTGACGTTTGTTGCCTATCTAGCCTGACGGCATCGGCACCAACAAGAAACCCTAGTATACATCTCCAGGAGCAGGAAAGGGTTGCACGACTCCAGAACTCTGGAGACACAAGATGGTCACCGCTGCTGCTTATTTGCAGCCTGCTTCCACGCACACCTTATGATGATTATGATTCATGATTTCCTTACATTCCCTGTAAGTTTTACAATGATGGCGATGATGATGTTGTTGATGATGATTATGATGATGCTCACTACTGCTGCTGCTGCTGCTGC